GTGGGTAAGGGTGAGCTCCAGGCTGCAAAGCGTCCCACACCGGAGCAAGAAGCTGGAGGCCGAGTGCCCATTATCAGACTGGCACAGAGAAACGAGTCACATGGTGATACTGGATTCACTGGGTCAGCAGACTGAGGCGCCGTCACTGCTGGCGAATGAGGCAGAAACCCAGAGCTCACTAGCTAAGGGGCGTGCAGAGAGTCACATGACGGCGCGTGGGGAGTCACATGACAGCGCGTGGGGAGTCACATGACAGCACGTCGGCATGGGGCTCAGTCCGGTTAGATCCCACCTCTCCTGCTCTCCCTGGCAATCCAAAGCACAGGTCTGTCCTCAGGAAATCTGACAGAGGTGGGAACAGATGCCAGTGCAAGGGCAGCCCCAGAGCCATGGCAACAGGGGGAAGTGCCCCGCCCCCAGGGCAGTCGACGGGAAACTACGCTTCCGCCGTAGCCAGGTGAGGAGCTCCCGCTGGGATGCCCCAGGCCCCGTGCCCGGCTCAGATGAGGGCCGAGAGGAACGTCGCCAGGCGACCGGACCGCCACGTGCCGGCAGAGCCCGTGGCGGCTATCGCATTACAATGACTAATTAAATCTGAAGAGTCCATTGAAAGAAATTGAAAAGCTTCTTCCAGGCCGCAAATGCGCATTAAATGCGGCGTTCTGCAGAACGGCAAGGTAACGGCGTTATTGATTACGGTAATTATCAGAGATACTCTGAGAGCTAATTAGAGCACAAACGACATGTTATCGCAAACGGGGACTGAGGGGTGGGGGGTGGGGGATGCCTGGCAGGAAGTCAGAGATTCTGAAGGTGCCATCCATCTTCAAATGATCACGTCAGAAGGAGACAGTGCTGTAACCACAATGCTGCACATAGGCCATATGTTAATGTATATGCCTCTGATATCCTTGACCTCCTCACCCTAAACCAGGGCTCTTTAAATCTGCCCCGCGATTCCAAATCCAGGCCTTGTTTTCAGTTCTCCCAGGTAGTTAGTTTAATAATTACTGATTCTGATTGGCCAGAGGCTTCACACCTGGCTCACAGGTAAAGGAAGGCTGGAAAACCAGCAATGGCTGCGGCCTAGAGGGCCGTGACGTGAACAGCCCTGCCCTATACCCCGCAAGCTGCGCATGTGTGTGAGAGAGAGAGAGAGAGAGAGAGAGAGAGAGAATGTGTGTGAGAGAGAGAGAGAGAGAGAGACAAATCCCCCCCATTTTGCCCCAGGGGTTCCCCTGGATTTTGCCGATTGGAGTGGGGGTTTCTTTAGTAGAATCAACCAGTGTGGTTATTTTTACAATGAAATATTTTCACCAGTTTAAAAGTTTTATTAACATACTCATAGTCATTTCACGACCTCCCTGCCAATGTCCCATAATCCCTCTGGAGGTCATGACCCGCCTTAGGGGAGTCCTGATCTGGCATACCTTCATGCTGAATCTCCTCTCACTGTATCCATCTCACACACACACACACACACACACACAGGGAGCATCTTAAACGCCACACACTGCCCATTAACAAGCTTTCCATGTGTTGCTTTCTAAATGAATTATTCAGGTCTGGTCACACTAACAGTTGGCATACATGCGATGTGTTTGTTTGCAGCTGCTGCGATGTGCTGCTTCTTCATCGCAATGTTCCTCCAGCCCTCCCTGCCCACTTACTGTAACACTCTCGCACGGCCTGGATTACGTCGCCTCACCACCAGGTCTGGGCAGGGTACCAATCTGTAACATATTTACATTTATATTTATGTGACAAACGGCGACCTCACACAAGTCCATCCCTCGAACCTGCGCCTGAAGGAGAGTCCTGAGGGAAGGCGTGAAAAAACTAAAAACATTTAAAGGTTCCTCAATCGATTTCTCTTGCCTCCTTCCCGGGGAGCGAGAAGGAGCTCTACTTTCTAAGTGCTTCACTGGTGAGATGCAGTCTTCCGGCAGGTTCTGGAGGAAAGTCCTCATGAAATTGCCTCACAAAAGCGAAATCACGATGCCGATTGTCCTCTCCTCGAAAACGGCCTCAGCTCATGGATCGATAGCAGAATGGACACAGCGGCCCAAATTTCACAAAACATGCTGATTTATGGGGTAGTTCAGTGAAAATATGCCTTCCCCCACCCCGCCCCCATTCAAAACGGCAAACCTAAATGGACAGATTTAACGCATGCATTCCCAAATAAAAAAAAATACCAGAAAGTGGAGGACAAAAACCAAAAAAGCCTTTAAAAGCTAACTTTAAAAAAAAAAAAAAAAACAGGCATTAAATGTTTCCATAAGGTTCTCTTTCAAGGTTTACCGTTAGGGACAGACGCACTCAGCACAGCTACACAGTGAGGGGATTCTGCCCTTTGCCCCAGACCGGACCCCCCCCGTCACCCACGTGATTGGCTCCTTTTCTTCTCTGTTGACACAGTGATACAGCTTCACTGTGCCACAGTCCCCCCCCCAATCCCAAACTCTACCCAGAGCCTCCACTGAATGATTTTTCTCCTGGGAAATTAATCCTTTCATAGCTACGTTAAAATTACAATTAACCTGAAGGCGCCCCCCACCCCCCAC